TAGCTGACTGCGTTGGCTCTCTGGCATCTAGTCTCTATCTCTCGATCTAATTTTCCATTTTCTGTGAAAATGCTGCCCAAGTATTTGAATTCTCTGCTTTGTTTTAGTTGGGATCCATTGATGTTGATATCCACTTTGCCTGGTCTCCTGCTAATTGTCATGACTTGCCCCTTGTTCAGTTTCTTTAAAAGAAAGAGAATTTTCTCTATAACCAAAAAATATATACACATCAATGAATCAATGCCCACTTTTGATGTAGATTAAGATTTCTGGAAACCCCCGAAATCTGGGTTATTAGCAAGCTTGTCCTTAAAAGCGACTAATTATGGTATGGATAAGAAAGTTCTTCCTCGGGTGGTTGAACTAGTCGTTTAGTTGATTTGTTTTTCTTGCGAGTATTGAGTAGGCTTATGAAGTTTTACTCTCAGTAGTCATGTCATCGGTGTAAAGCGCTCAGTTTATACTTGGTGGGGATAGAGTTATTATTATCATTATTATTATTGTTGCAATTGAACAGAAGAGCTGAGCATATGTAGTTGGGCAGTGTCTCTGGTACCGGATGTCTTTTCCTTTTTCTCTGTCGTGTCTGTCTGTTTTACCTTTCCCCTGCACTAAGTTGCAGTCATCGTGTTGATCAGATTTCTTTTACTCAGAACTGAAAGGTAGGAACCCCGGCATTTATCATGAAGATGAGAACAGGAAAAAGTGAGAAAAAGAGAAAGACCGGAGATGAGGTAGAAGAGCAAAGGAGAGATAAGGAAACTGAGACTGAGAGGAGAGGAGCAAGGATGTAGGAAGAGAATGGGGAGAAGGCAAGAAAGGAGGAAAGACAAGGTGAAGAGAAAGGGAGAGGAGGTAGGAGGAGAAAAGGAGGGGAGGGGAGGGGAGGTGAGGAGAAACGAAGGAAGAGAAATGGGAGTAGGTAGGAAGCTGAGAAGGAAGTGGTAGGGAGATAAAGGGAGAAGAGGTTGAAAGGGGAGGAGGGGAGGCGAGGAGGTAAAAAATGGACGGGAAAGGAGGTAAAGAAGCTTAAGGGAGAGGAGGAGCGAAGCGGAGCATACATGAGGAAAGGGGGCCGAGGGGAGAGGAGGTGAAGAGTAGCGGGGATAGAAGGTAGGAAGAGAAAAGGAGAGGAGGTATTAAGTGGAGGGTAGAGGATGCTGGAAATGTAGGGGAGAGGAGATAAGGAGGGGAGGGGATAGGAAGTAGGGTGCGAAGAGGAGAGGAGATAGGAAGTGAAGGCAAGTGGACTGCCGAGTGGATCATAGGGAAGACTTCTAACTTCTTTCCGCTATGGCCAGAACAGACAGAAATAGGAAAAAATATAATATAGAGAAAGTTTTTAAAACATAAAAGAGCCAAAAATCAATGAGATATGATTTTATTTGAAAACAACTGGCAAAAATGCAATTCATGTACTGATACACACAGAAATATGACCACTCTAATGTACAAAATAATAAAAGACAGTGAATCTACACACAGGCTGCATTATGGGAAGTCCTCTGCTGCTGCTTTACTTTCGCACATATATGCATACTCACATACACACACACAAGTGCCAGACGCACAGACATACACACAAAAAAATGGTGTGCCAGCTGGGATTTATTTTGGTAAAAAATTTTCAAAAGTCAGGAAAAGCCAGATATGCCTACTCTGTCACCCTTTTTAACTATTTAGGTGGTCTGCTACTTCAGTCAAGTCTCTAAAAGCCACACTGGCCTGTTTGGGACACTACATCCCAGCAGAAAGAAAGAAACACTTATTGCTGACCAAAAGTAGTGCTTCGAACATCAACCCCCCCCCC